TCTAGTACTCAGCTACTTGCAAATAAAGAGCTTATTTGGAGAGGCCTTCAGACTTTACAACTCCTGTGTGTACAGTGGTGTCTGTACCGCGAGTGAGGATCCGAAGAGTAATAGCTCTGATCTTATTTTGGAGAGCCCTGGACGTATGTACTCGTCTCTTAAAGCTGGATCCATTTGTTTTGTGCTAGTGTGAGTGTTTCTGGAGAGCCATGAGCGCTGCAGCTGCACAGGCTGAGCTCTCCGCACTCTGTGTAGCTGAAGGAAGCTTCAGTGTCGTTATGGAATAGCATATATGGGCACTTGCATAGTTATAGACTAATAATTGTAGCTGTCTCATCGTGGATGTCTCTTTGCTCACAGGCATCAGGTTTCTAATGATGCAAATATGCTGGAGATGGATGAAGAGTATATATTTTTCTGTCAGCACTTAACCAGCTGCTGAATTCTAACTTGTACAAATAATAGCTGCTTGTGTGATAATGTGAGCATTCTGCAATCTTTAAATTAGATCTCGTTAATGATGACTATCACCGGGTTCTCAGTAGTCCTATTATGTAAGTTCCTTTGAAAATGTATTTAATCCTTCAGAAACTGAACCAATGTCTGAATTCATCTGATGTAAGCACCAATGAAGTGGGATTTTGATGTCTGTCTCTATGAATGATATGCCATAATAGTCCTTGCAACACTATTTATGCATCATAACATATCCCCTACACTATGTGGTGATCAATGACGAGGCCAGAAGAATCAACTGAAGGAGAGATGTGGAGAAAATATAATGTGAAAAACGATGTTGTCGGCTCCTTTTCCGTACAAGGTGTTATGCGTCACCTGTATAGAGATGCAGAAAATGTGACCAGGACTTCTTAAACTTGCATTTCATTTCTGTCATCTGAAGGAGTTTGTATAAGACGACTTCTTTGTCTCTGTATTCTCACTACTCTGGATTTGAAGCTTTTTTCCCCTCTCTTTGTTGCGGTAATTTTCTCTTGTGAAGATTTGCCTGAAGCAAGAGACCTAGCTGCTGCATCTCTTAGGAATCATGATGATGAGCACTTGAGACTCTAGTAGGAAGTGAGGTTAAATTATTTGTCATCACCTTCAAATAGATTTTTTGGAAGCAAAAAATGCTCATGTCAATAAATTGCCTTTGTGTTTCATCCCTCTCGTGACATCCCAAGGCACTCCATTTCATATCCATGGAACAAAAGTGCATTCACTTGAAATCACTTTGTGTGCGTGTGTCTCAGCCGTCTGCTACTTCATTGCTGAAGAAAATAGCATTATTGCATGGCTCCTAAAGATCACCAAGTTAGAGAGAGAAAAAAAAAAAAAAAAAAAAGGCAACCTTTAAAGAACAAGGGCGTGTAGGAAGAACAGAAGATTGGCACATCACAGTGCAAGCAGGGTTTGTGTTTGCCTTCTGTGCTTTTGGTGTCTTCTGATACCATGGAGGATTGCACGGTTTCTTGCTGCACCCTGCACCCTTTTCTTGCACCGACCTTCGCTCCCCTGACTCCCCCGAAGCGTTCGAACGGGACTGGGCTGGAGGTCCAAGGCTGCCCCTCGGCCAGGAGGCACACGCAGCACTGGGATTGCTGCTTTTATCTGTAAAAAGCTAATTAATTCTGTGGGGTTCCATCTCTTCCAGGAATAATTACTGATTGAATTTCTGTACACCCATATATACAGGAGCTACTTCTGAAGCATGTGATAAAACTTTCTGCTTGTCTTCAGCTAAACCGAATAGGGGGAAATATTTGCCACGCTATCGCTGAAGTTTGAATTAAAACTCTGCCCATCATTTAGGTTTTATCCCTGTCTGAAAATGACTTTGGGCCTGATTTTCTGCTCACTGTGTTACTACGATGGTATTTTGATTCAAACTAGGGGGAACATTCTGTTCAGCCAGGCTCATTAATTTGGATATTTTAAATACTTTTTTTTTTTTTTTTAGTATTGAAGTTTGAAGACTATTTAGCATATGTAAAATATCGCAATTTCTTCACAGGTTTTCTATTTCAAATTTGGTCAGAACTTCCAATTGCAATACGTTCTCTTCAAAGGGTAACTCAACCTATGTTTATCTGAAGGATAGCACGCTCTTGTTCTAATTTGTATAAATTCATGCATGTTTTTTGAGTGGACAATTATATTTGACTCCATATCTGGATTTATTGAGCACAAATTCATTTGTTTAGTACTCAACTAAATGGCATGTTTTCAGTACAGGAAGGCATTTCTGTTACTGTAAATTCTATTAAGTTTTTCAAATCTTTATTATTTTCATACTTGAATACTATTAACATTGCTCTTGGTTTTTGTTTTTTGTTTTTTTTTTTTTGGTTTTTTTTTTTTTTTTTTTTAAGTAGACTTTGCTCAGGTTGCTTTCACAGATATCCTCACCACTAAAGGTTTTCGTTCTGCTGTGTTTTTGGCCAACTGTGCTTCTGGAACTTAATATGCCTAATCAGCATTGTTTGTGTGCAGCATTTCAATCCCAGATTCACTTCCCTTGGCATGCATTTCTGTTGCATTGCTAATTTGGTTATGTAGCTGAGCTGAAACCACTTAAAAGCATTTTCCTTGTCAAGGCCTGGAAATGTAATAAGTTCTGTAATCAATGAGAGGGGAGTGAAATAATGAAAAGGACAGTACATGGATCTTCACAGTCTGGATGTTCGCTTACCCTGCTGAATTATTTGCAGGATTTCAATGTTTCCGGTGTACCTGAGATTTAAAATGATGGGGCTTTGGTAGAGTGTCTCTCAAGAATAATATGCAGGTTGAGTAGATCAGATGTCAGTAGTAGTTTGATAATTACACAGGGAACCAAAGATGGAGAAAAAGTGTAGATAATTAAAGATGTTCATATAGGGGGATTATATCTTTGCTTATCTTCAAGCAAATCACTTTTGTGGACCTATTTAGACATTCTTTGTGCTTAAAGAATTTCCCTACCAAGGTAGTGATCTCTCTGTGCTTATTCGTAATTCTGGTCTACCACCTCTGCTCAAAGGAGGAAGAAAAAAGATTGTTTGCGACTCTCCCTTTTTCTCATGAGCTGAAAAAAGAAATCGAAAACCTCTGCTCGTAGGCTGGCTACAAAATGCTTCAGCCTGATAGCCAAGTGGAGGCAGTGCCCCAAGAGAAGTCTCACACTGGGGAAGACCTGGGCTGCTCCCTGCTGATGGCTTTCTGCAAACCCAGCCCGGCCGTGGAGGGAGGGGGCTCGGGACAACAGGGACTGGTGCCGGTGAAGCAGCCGCTCGGTCCTGCAGGGAGGAGAGGCACAAACACGGTGGCTGAGCAACTACGTGCAAATGGACTTCTTGCCTCTCTTAAAATCATTCATTCTCACAGTCATTAACATCTTGATTTCCTTTCCTTATTGTTATCAATCAGCTAATTTCAAATTCATTCATCCCTATTTCTAATTAAGGATGTTAACAAAGGAATTTTCCCCACTTGTATCCTTCAGCTGAGTATTTACTTTGATTGAATGTCTCTAAAATATGTGCAAGAGATGACTCTGAGGTCTGGCTTCTGGAAGCTCCTGACAGTACCCAGACCTGCAGGTGCTTCAGGAAGGTGACCAAGACCAATGTAAGGTTAGGAAGAAGGGTGATGCTGCAGGTGGAACAAGTGGGATGTGCTGTTGCCACCTCTGGGAAATAATAGATTGCACTTCTGTTGCCTTCCTCGATGCAGCTCAGAACACTTCACAAGCAGTAATCACATTTCAGAAACCTCGGTGAGATAGGTGAGTATAATCACACATTTTTCTGCTAGACAAATTGAATCATGTAGGTGCTACTTGGACAAGGTAAAACAAGAAGTTAGTGGACAATTTCAGGGGAAAAAAAAAAAATAATCAAAGATTCCTGATTCTCAACCCATTCTGCCTTGCTTCAAGCTCTGAAAAGACTGTTTGGTTTGATGCTTAATTGCAGAGGCACCCAGTTATCTGTTCGTGCAGCCATAAAACCAAGAAGGCCACCTTATTGCCTGGTTTTACAGTCATGTTACCAGGTTGCATACCCACCTCAGGTCTGAGAGGGAAGGAGTGGTTAAGACATGAGCCTACCACTTAAAATATTTAGATTCACCTTTTTTTTTTTTTTGTCACTACTCTTGAGTTCTTTTGGCTCTTTGTGGTTTAATTTCTGTGTTCAGATTTTCCATTTGCAAATTGGCTCCCTTCTCTCAGACTTCTTTTTATGCCTTGGTGGGTCAGATGAGAAGGTCTCTGAGGCAGAGGGTCTGTAGTTTCTAACACACTGGGCGCTGCTGCGATCAAGGAATAACTTTCCAAGCACTGCTTTTCCCCCTGTTGCAGTTGAGATGACATTAAGCGTTTGGATTCCTTAGGTTCTTGCCTGCTAAAATGCTTTCAAGGCAATCAGTGGGTTCTGAAGGGCAATTCAGTCTCTACAGGTTGGGGAGAAGGGGGCTGCATAGTTAATGCAAACACATTGAGCTTCCCGAGGTGGCGTTAATAGCAGACACGTTTGCTCAAGTCTCTGGAGCACCCCTTTGGTTGCACCTCTGAAGTGTTCCTTTCTTCCCTCAATCTGGCTCTGTTTTTCAATTAGAGACTGGGATTTGCAGCAGAACAAAACATCAGGCTTTAAAATACCAGCTGTGCTTTATTTTAAATGCTTTCTTCTTTCAAAGACATACTTTGGGAGCATACGGAGTCTGGTGTTTTCTCTCTCTAAGATGGTCCCTGTAGGTTAGAGTTTCAAGTTTGTGATTACGGTAGGATTTGTTTCTCTGGATTATGGTAGAATAACTTGCAAGAAGAAGTGTTGACTCCGCTATCAAGATTTTGCTTTAATTAGTAAAACCATAACTCAGAATGTTTTATTGTATTGACTAAACCAGGCAGTTCTTTAAATGTGCTCGGGGGGGGATTCATTTGTATTTCATACCAGGAAAATACTGTTCCTTACTGTCCTTCTGTGTGTGTATCTGTGTGTGTTTTTAACGTGCAGGGCAGGAGAGAATTGGCAAAGACTCCCACTATGAGCAGGAGGGGAAGGTCCAGTTCGTGATCGACGCGGTGTACGCCATGGCACACGCGCTGCACCACATGAACAAGGACCTCTGTGCCGACTACCCGGGGGTCTGCCCCGAGATGGAGCATGCAGGAGGCAAAAAGCTGCTCAAGTACATCCGCAGCGTTAACTTCAACGGTGAGCTGAGACTGCTTCTGCAGTAGCATAATGATCCATGTGACTTTTTCCGGTTAATTTCACTTTTATATTTTTTTTTTTTTAATTCACTGTAGATCAAGACTTATTGTTACAGTAGAGTTTGTGGCTGAAGACCATATTTATTTAGTATCTGTTTGAAAACATCAAGTTTTAGCCAAGGCAAATAGGCTACTACTGCCCAAAGACAGAAATCACTGCTGCTATTTTAGGACACCTTCCAGAAGACTGATTTCCTATGGGAGAAATAACTGGGTAAAAGCCTGAGCTTGTCTCTGACTAAGTATGCCCACTGAAACCTTAGAAGCTTGTTAGCGTCACACATCATTTTTCCTTCTTTAATTGATATTGTTTCCTGTACTTGGAGAAGACTAACTGGATGAAATTCTGGTACCCTGAACCCAGCTTAGCTGCATGCTCAGGAGAAGGGAGATGACAGCTAAAGGGCCAGGTCCTCTTGCAGAGCCAGAACTATGTGATTTAAACAGAGTAGTTACTTCAACCTTCATTCCTCTAGTAAGACTTCAGAGGAGACGAAACATCCAGGGAATGAGGATGGGTGCACGTCATCTCTTCGACGATCACTCACTTATCCACCTGCGCTTCCCAAGCGTGGCAGTGATGGTTGCAACACCAGCCCTCTCTTTCACATGCTACAATGGGCTTTTGTACATTTTTCTTTCCATTGTGCTATATAAATCAGCACTCCGTATTTGCAAAATTTCCTTGCCTCTATATGTTTTACTGTAATTTTATTAGTTCAATTCGCCTGCAACCAGCCCAGAGGCACGAGAGCAGATCGCCTGCAGCAGGTAACGTTACAGCAACCTAATGTTGTTTCTCCTTCATAAACCTTGCTGATGTACTTACCAGGAGGTCTTACTCCTCTTGCCCTAGCTCTGTATAAGATAGAGATCTGGGATTTAACCAGGAGCCAAAAGTTAGACCTCCAAATCCATATTTAGGGCAGATTTAGGAAAGTACTGAAAAAAATATCCTTTTGAGATGTGCGAGGCAGCCAGGGATGTCTCTGCCTGGGAAGAGGGATTTTCATAAGCTTCACATCCTCGTCAGGTGGCACGGGGAGGTGTCCCCTGCTGCAATTTACTAATAAACATTTTTATTAATAAATTGTAAAAAACCCACACATGGCCAATCAGACCTCAGAGATTGAAAGGTAGGAACGCAGGTGGTATTTCATGGTCAAGCTTGGTCATTTGTGCCAAGGATATTTTTCCTTCCTGTATCAATCATCTTAAAAACAGCAAGGTGAATATGAGGATATTTTAATTTCTTTCCTTGAAGTGAGTGGTGTTAACTACAGCCAGGAGCAAATTTTGAGATGAATGATCTGGGGAGGTCTGGAAAGTCCTGCTTTCCTCATCTTGGAAGGTTAATTATAAAGGACAAAACTCCTGTAGAAGTAGGGCACCATTCATGCACAGGATTGCACTTAGGCCAGTTTAGTACTGAAAAGTAGCTCATACATGGACATCTCTAGACAGTTCTTGTATATAAAGATGCTGAACAGTCATCTAATCATTTTAATAGAGCTGAGAAATAATTTCTGAGAAATTGGGTGTCCAGCTGATGTTGCCTGCTGCCCATGAATTGGTTTGTACCAACTTTGGTTTCCTTATTTGTGTTTCCTTGGTCAGACTTTTAAAAGATTACTTTTTTTGCTCCATTTATGATTGATTTACATGGCCATACGGTGTTTTTTCTTTGCTTGTACACATGTAACTCGTGTCCAGCACAGGGACTGAAGTAGTGGTTTGCTTTTTAACATGGGAAGGAGAATGGTGGCAAAACTGAGATAGCTCTAAACCTTTGTAATTTCTCTTGGCTATCCGGGTGTAGGTATTATCCGCGGGAAAAGAACCGATTCCTTTTAAGGTTCATTATCCAGGGGCAGAGTTTAGCTTTTTTTTGTCGTATTTGTAGCACATAACTGCACACGTGTTTGTACACCCAGGCTCCATGTTCAGCTGCAGCCCTCCTGAGGCTCGTTCCTCAGGCAATGGAAAGATGCTCTGAAGCCCGTTGCTTCTCAGTCTTCTATAAAAATAAATTCCCAGAATTGCTGTGGATTGGTTCAGTCTTCCCAGTGGCGCAGGATAAGCAGCCATCACATAACTCAAACGGGTGAGGCCAGCCTGAAAAATGCAGAGGGATGAGGGAATGGAAGACGCAATGAGAGAAACTTCAGCTGGCCTGGGTGGTGTGTTCCTGCTGATAAAGCCCGGGAGCTCCTGGGACGCGGGTGCTGATGCCTTACGTGTTCCTTGGCCATCATGTCGTGGCTGGGAGGGCAGGGACAGAGGAATGCTCTGCTGGGTTTGTGTCAGCTCTCTTGGCTTTAGCCTTGATCTTAACTTGCCCTTCCCTGAGCCACCAGAGCAGCCTTGCAACTCCATCTCATGAAGGTCAGGATTTGGAAAGCAATGTTTAATCTATCCTTAAAATCCTGTTCTCCCAGTCTGCTACCTAAATTTGTAATAAAAACAGAAAGTAAAGCAGTGAAAATGCTTTGTCCAAACTGTGTGCCAGAGAGGAAAAACTGTAGCCCATTTTCAAGCATCCTGAGCCCATGAGCTTAAGATCCTCTTTGCATGTAATAGATCTCCTTGACACCATGCATTTGAAATCATCCCATCTGTACCTGCTCTTGCAGTCTTTTCTTCCTTGCAAAGGTAATGACATTCATGCAGAAAGACTTCAAGCAACGCTTTAATGAAGAGAGATTGGATTTGTACTAGGAGCTCAGTATGAATTTTGACATCATCACACTCCCTTGAGAACAAAAAGGCCAAAAATATGGAAAACTTAAAGCCTCAAGTGCTCATGCAGTGAGATTCTGAAAAATCTCAAAGTGCAAAGTGGTTGTATTCTTGCCAGTGAAAAAGCTAAATTCTGTTCGTACAAGCCCTTCAGATCCTGAAACTGCAGTAAACGTGAACTGGATAATAAAAGAAACACCTTAGCTAGTTAGACCTGTCTAGCACCCCGTCCTTCTGTTAATTCATTTCTCATCTTGTGGCAATTAAGAGATCGAAATCCTACAAATTCAGTCAGATCGTGTCTTTTTTTTTGAATGCATCCTGCAGGGGAAAGGGTGTCATGTGCTGTGTCGATGTAGTGAGAAGGCAGCTTATTTGTTGGGAACCAAAGATGAATTAAATTGTCATAGCCTCTGAATGAGCAAGAAGCTGCAGTCTGGAGGCTAATACTCAGTTTCTGAAATGTTTGCTGGGGCTGAGCAAAATTCTTGTAAATCTTACTAGAAGGAAAATAAATCCTGAATTATCAAAAAACAACTAAACCTTATGTTTTAACAATTAGAAGATCAAGAAGTCAAATAGGATCATTTTTGAAAATACCGTTTCTTCTCCATAATGAGGTTTTCATACGTTACTTTTTATTATTTTCATAAGTGCACAAAGGAGCTTGAATTGCAAGTGGAGACTGAAATACTGTAGCAATTTAAAACAGGACGGACAGGTCCCTACAGACGGATGGTACAGAAGGGACATCAAAGCACGCACCAGAGCCCACGCAAGGGTTAAAGGCTTGCACTTACTAAGAGATCCTTGGCTGGGAGGCCAATTACTCCAACTTCAAAGTCAGGGAAGAAGATGCTTCTACTTGACTTGTGACCTGCGATTATCAGTTCTTTGCGTTTCTATAGATACTGGTCTTCTCCACAGGTCCCATACTTTTCACAGCTTTTTTTTTTCTGTATAATTTTAATGCATTAATGGCAATGTACCTGAAAAGAGCAACGGGCCTTTACTCCTGACTATCAAATAGCCATCTCCATATCCATGCATGAGGTTAATGTCCTAAGGGATTGTGCCTTTAGGGGCCTCTAGAGGTGACCCAGCAGACAATGCTGTATTGTGCTGTGTTGCTGTGAAGTCTGCAGCCCCATAGCATCTAAGTGCATCCACTGATCTTCTGGGTTATTTTAAATGTCAGTGTTGAAAAGCTGTCTGCATGCAACTACTCAAAGCAACAATTAGTAGTAACCTACGAAAAGTTTTCTTGCTCCTGCAAAAGACAGAAATGGTGTATTTTAGAGTGACGGTTCCTGGTATGTTCTCGCTTTAGGACCTTTCAGGTCTATAGCAGTACCTCTCCTTCACCATTGGCCTTCTGCTTCTGGGCCCTGCTGTCCACTGCCTGCCCCGGGAGCAGGGAATGGGGGTCCTGCCAGCACCGGCTGCAGGCAGGCGGGTGCCCAGCTGGGCGATGGCGAGGCTTGGCTCTGCCCGTGCACCATGGTGGGGTGGCCGTGGCTTAGCCAGGAGGGCTCTGGGCAACCTTCCCGATGGCCCCTGAAGGTGACCGCAGAGGTGCTCTTGGCTGCTCCCCCTCAGCCTGCAGCAGAGTTTGTCTCGGCACTGCTGACTCCGGCGTGGCCGTGACGGCGGTGTCGGCCCTCGGTCTGCCCCCTGACACGCCCACACGGACGCTTCTTCGTGCCCCTCCTGGGGTTCTCTCAGGATGTGGGGGATCCACAAATGGCTGTGTTGTAATTTGGGAGCCTCACTTGAGATCCTACCCTTTGAATTGTACTTTTTTGTCAGCTCTGACAAAACCGAGCTTAACTAATAATATACAGCCTTTTAAGAGCCATCATTAGCTAAATCCCATTTACCATTTGTGCTGACTTTCCAAAGGAGCCCAAGAATTACAGCCATTTCTTCTTATTCTCTTTAAGAGTTTTCACTGTAAATGTATTGTGGCTACATTAATCTGTAATGACAATTAAATATCTGCCTAGTGCTCATAAGGAGCCAGTGAGGGGAGATATCAGTGGAAGATTTTCTGTAATGGCCTTTGAACTGAATCTGTATCTGATCTCGGTGGATTGTAGAATAGACAGGAAACAATTTACCCGGGCTAGAATGGAAACTATGTTAATTCACTCCTTCAAATCTTTTTTCTCTCAGTGGAATTCAATGAAGAATGGGAAACGTGAAGAAAACCATAATCTTAAAGTTCAATGTTACAACAGGAGGGATTTTTCATTGCTTTGGGGGGAAAAAAAAAAAAGTTACGCAGGAGGAGGAAGCTTTGAATATAGATATGCTGGGGTATTGTCATAATCTTCAATCTTGACACAATATTACTCTACCCTACTGAAACCTATTTTAATATGTCATGAAATCAATGTCACCCTTGAAGTTTTCACCTAGAGATCTGAGGAAATGCAACACTGCTTTGAATTCTTATCTAAGAAAGGGTTCCCATTCAATGCCACTGTAATTAAAATGCAGATGTTCTGGTGACAACTCTCCTGAGGATCAGGAATCGCCGGTTCCGTCACCCAGCTATGGGTGCACCTCCAGATCCTGGATATGCTCAGCACCAGGCACAAAGGATGGGCTGTGGGGGTATCCTTGCCTTGCTGCTTGCCCAGTACTTCCTTACCCATGTTAGTCACCTCAGTATATGACAAATAAAGTTAATTCAGGATTCTGATCCTGAACTGTTCCTGACTGAGATATTTTTTTCAGCCTGTGTCAGTGTCATAGAGCCAAAATAAGGGAGTATACAAGGAACAGTCTTCCTATAGCTTAGTCTGTTCTTTTCCATCCCAACTGCATGCTGATTATGGGAATAAGAACATATTGTGGAGGAGGAAGCTATTTCTGGATGCTAGTCAAGATTCACTAGACCTGGGCTGACTTCTGACAGCAGTATCTCTCAGAAGCAGATGGAACATTTTCTGGGGGAAAAAAAATCATTTAGAGGCTCCATTCACAGGAGTAATTTTCACTAAAGAACTCCCCGAGGAAAGAGAGATGGGAGGTAGGCTGGAGGGAAGGAAGAAAAGCCTTCTGATATTTCTTGCTTTGTGCAAAGCTGGAGTGAAGTAAGGTTGATCTAGTTTTGCTTTCATTTATTTTTAATCAGTAGGTTTGGGCAGTGATAATTAATCTCTGGAAGAGGGCTAGGATGACGCCACTGTATCCTGAAATATCCATTTTAGATGGCTAGGGTGGTAGATGACCTTTGCCTGAAACTCATTACCAGTTTGAAAACTCTTAACCATGACTAAATAAAATACATATTGTAAAGATATGGTGTTGGTTGGTTGGATTTTTGTCTTGTTTCCTTCCCCCAGGCAGTGCTGGCACTCCAGTGATGTTCAACAAAAATGGTGATGCCCCAGGGCGCTATGACATCTTCCAGTACCATACCACCAACACCAGCACGCCAGGCTACCGCCTCATTGGCCAGTGGACAGATGACCTCCAGCTCAACGTGAGTCTATTTTATGCTTTTCTTGCTCTCTTACGTCAGGTATAGTCACTAAATGCATGTTTTCATCCTGCAGAAATTAATAGGGATCTGTACTATGTCTTTGCAGCTACATCATGGTTTGGGTTTGGGTTTTTTTTTGCATGTTATCATCTTTTGCCCTGTCCTGCAACCTTTTATCTGGACCCTGAGTACCAAAATTCCTCAGACTAATAGACACATTAGGTGATCATGCAAATTTTATTACTTTTGTGTCTCAAGTCCCTAGTTGCCAACTTGGAAAATGAAGCAGTAATGCACTGTAGACTGAAACCAACGGGCTTTCATTTGCAGATGCTTTTCAGTCTCTCCAGTTATACACTTCAGTTTGTCTAGTTTTAGGAAAGCTGAAACTAAATGTTTTTTGAGTGACTCACTCTTCCGATGTTACTTTTAAACATGTAGCAGAGATATCCATATGAATGAGATGGCCTTTTTGTAATGACGCCTAAGGAAAAACAAGCACGTAAGAGCAGGTGATCAAAGGCCCTCAAGATACTTCAGTGTTTCCCAGATGAAAAAAAAAAAAAAAAAAACCAAACGCCTGACTGGTGGCTGAGAAATCTGGGGACCCCCATGTCAGCTTCATCCATACAAAGATGGTCTGTGACACGTCTCTGGAGATCTGGGTTCAGGCTTCCTGCTTGACTTCGTGCAAGTTGCTCGAGCCTCAAATTCATGAAGTGGTGTCAGTTTAACCTTATAGTTATTTGACTCCAAGCAGATCCTTATCAAAGTACAAAGACTGGGTTTTCAGTCCAGTTTGACCGCTCTTCAGCAACAGACGCTGAATAAAATCAAGGGAGTCCTGAAGTGAAATGCCAGTTGTTGCAAAAGGGTTTTCCTCTCGCGCTCAAAGTTCCCACCCAGGGTTATAGCAGCCCACTCCCCTCACATCGTCCACTCTGGGGATGTTACGGCTCCTTCCCTGCCTCTGCTGTCGGATTCCCTTTGGAAATGGGGTGCAGGGGGGAAGAGGAGGCTGCGTGAGCACTCCCCGGTCCTGACACGTGCTCCCGCGCTGGCCGGGACGTACCGGGCACCCGGCGTGTGCTCGTGGGCGCTGTGGTCGTGCCTCGGGTCCCTGCGCGGGAGATCTGGGCGCGAGCCAGGGGCTACCTGGGCAGGTCACAGCACCGTCGCCTGGAGCGTACCCGAACGCAGGACGCTCCCTTTTCCCATTTTTCATGTCTTCTGTTAAACGAAGCAGTTAATGCGGAATACCAAGGGTCCGTCTTTGAGACCTGACCATCAATATTTTGCTCCTCTTGAATTCAGGCTCATTTTGATTTGCTGTGAGCTCTTCCAGTGCTTTTGAACATTTGATGTTCTATTTAAGGAAAACTATATTAACTTGCAATTTACAGTTCTTTTAGCAAAAAATATTAATATTTTATGAAGTAAAGCCTTCTTTATGTAAACTACACATCCTGATTCATTAAAATTTAAAGCTAAATTAATGGAGCTTGATTTGTATTCCTGTTGTTGTGTTAAATGTTTCCATAAAAAGCGCACTTTCCTCACCCTCATATCCTCACAGCTACAGGGTTATATCAGCAGTTGAGATTCTCTCACTAACTTCCCTTCTACTTGCTTACAGGTTCTAGTTTGTCACACAGGATTAGCATTGCTATGATAGTCCTTGTTTGTGTTTTCTTACAATAATAAAGAAAATTGTAGAGTTTAGAGAAGTAAGGATTCCCTAAAGTAACCGACCGAAATAATAGCTGCTATTAAATACATCCCAGGAAAAACTACCAAAGGCTACAATTTGTCTTCAGTAATTATTGGGGAGTAGCACTTTCAGGATATATTTCTGCAATTCTTACTTTGTTAATACTAACACAAGAGGGGAAACAAAAGGATGTTTGGTGAGGGTGTTAATTTTAATTTAGAAAATGCTGAAGTTATGCTTTTGTTTTCCAAGAGATTTGTCATCTTGGGTAGTCTTGTTTAGTTCTGTGTGTCTGAATTTCCTCAGTTACAAAAGAGAAAAGTTGTTCTGCCCTATTATGGAGGCCTTAATGGTAAGGACATTCCAGATCTCAAAGGCAGTAGGTAACTAAGTGCTGAAGGCCATCATAGGTGGTGAGTAAATATTTTCTTCTTTATTGTTGTGTCATTCAAAGAAGGAGCAAGAATATTTTGCCATTTATTTCCCTGAAGGTAGTGCTACTGTTCAGTCTGTCGTCGATCTAATCTACAATGGTAGATGTCACCTTCCCATTCACGGTATTTTGGAGTGGGAAGCAGAAGTATGGGAGGCACAGGGCTGATTAATCTTTATAGCCGTACCAGATTTTTCATGTAAAATTACAGAATAATTTCTTTTTACATTTTTTTTTCTATTGCATAAGACAGTAGATAGACTGAAGAGGTCTTTAGCAATGTATTTGTAAGCCTTTAAATATGCTATATCAGTTTTTTCTCTTTTTGTTGTCATGAGTTTATAAACGTGGTTTTACGAAATGTCTGAGACCTGTATATTTCTGTAAATCCTGACTGCTTCTCCACATCTTTGTATCAAAACCTTTGGTTATTTATATCTGGCAGAAATGTTCAGTAAAGGCAGGTGTCTGCTCCCCACATGCCCAGGAGCCAGGCTCTGCTCTCCCCTTAGCAGGTTTCTATGTGAAATGTCTCCTCTGAGTGCAATTGACTCACCCTGGATTTACATTTCTGTATCTGAGGTCAGAATTTGGTCAATAACCAAAAAAATATTTTGTGTCTTTTCACTGCAGCAAACTTGGGACATAATGTAGTTTTTATGTAAGGATGGTATAATCACCAAATTTTCTTTTGCTTGCTTGATGTCAAGCAACCTAGCACAGCTTTGCCGAGTACCCAATGCATGATTTAGTAACAATTTTGGCTGTATTTCACAGAAATCTACGCAAGGATAAAATGAGCAGATGTCTAATTTAAAATGGCTTGGCCACTATTCCATGAAAAACTGTTGCAGTGCTTTGTTCTCCCCGCAGTGAAGTTGTGATTACAAGATGCCCACCCACCTCCCATAAGAGGTCATGGAAAAGCACCTCCTGCCTCTCTTTCTTTTATGAAGATTATGTCAAGCTCTGTCAGCCTCTTTTTGGCCCCCTTCGTGCAGATTCAGTATGCAAGATTTCTAGTTTGCATCTTCCTGCAATTCGACATGTTTTGCCCTGAATTTTAGAAACCAAAATTTGGCCAGCTGCATCCATACTGAAATCCTGTATCATGAACCCCAGAGCCTGTTGAATAGCAGAGATACAGCTAATGCAATTAGACAATAAAACTGTTGACCAAAGTAATATTAGCATCTGAAACCAGGACTGTATTTTAATATGCTGGTGTTCAGGGTACACTCACGTACTACAAGGCAGTTGCATCACTATGAGGAGAATTATTTTGACTGTATTTAGTTTTAATGTGTTTCAAAATCCAGAAGTGCTACTGGTGAAAAGGAGGAAAGCTACCATGGGGAAAAGGAGGTGTGTCATGTACCAGCTGGTTTTTGGTTCTTTTGCTTTTCAAATGGGTAACTTCTTTTTTTTTTTTTTTTTTTTTTCAGCAAGAGATAGACTTCTGATGCTTGTGTTATTCAAGCGATAGGAAATAGTGAGGATGACTGTGGGTTAAGCATGAAGGCAGAATAGCCAGGAGACATGGCAGGTTCTGCTGTCATGCCTTAAGGTTTCATGTTTAATTTTAGAAAGGTAATTAACTCTTCATGCTCTGTTTTACCCCAGGTACACCATAGATCCAATAACAGTAGATGTCTTCTTGATGTGCGTGCCTTTATTTGTCAGTCTCCGCAAAGCACTGTGAGGTTGCTGAGTAGGAGGCACTAGAGGAGTGCAAGGAACTGGCTGACCAGCTCTTATACGGAGTTGGCTTTCACGAATGTGACTTCTAATGCTTTGAGGTGCCTGACAAAAACAGAAACACGTATCTCCTGGAGGAACTGATGTGCCTGAAGGAGAATGAAATGGATCACTCCTAGAGGAACTGCAGGTTCTCATGGGAAATTTGGTGATATTGCTTCTCTTTCTCTATATAGAGTTAACTCAGCAGGTCCCAGATTTATTATGTTTTCACATCCAAATCTCTGCAAGTATCCCTGAACTGTCAAAATCAAAAAATAAAGAAAACAATCCCCGTGAAATTGTTGAACCTTTTTTCCAAGGATTTGTCTCCTGCATACCCTATTACGGCAGCACTCTTCATCATGTTCCCTGTGACTCCTTCCCATAGTTGTCCCCACAATTTCCCTGCAGTGCCTGAACTCCCTTCCACACCCCTATATCTTTTGCTGTGCAAGCGACAGCCAGTGTCGTGGCTGTTTTTGAATTACACATATGCCAACTGGTTGGCTGGCTGGCTGAAACAAAAGGGTGAGAGAGATGCTTAGCATTGGCGGATCTTTTATCTGACTATCCACTGGGTTTTACTAATCCTTCAGACACATCCTTCAGAAATCCCTGCTTGTAACAAACGTGCTTTAGATTGGCCAGCAAGTTCAAAAGTTATTAGGAAAGAAGTTGGTGCAGGCAGATGGAAGTGCAGACAGAGAGTCCATATGTTTCACTTCCTTCAATTTTTCCTCTAAAATGATAGCAAAATTTAGAAATTCCCACCAGTTATGCAGAATGAAAAGTAAAGCTAGTCTTGCTGTTAATAATTTCTGTTAAAAATGTGATTTGTGCAAAAGCAGTGCCCAGTAAGTAGACTGCTATTGGATTTGGACAAGCAGGCATACAGGTTCAATCCCTTGTATTGCTGAAGTGAGCAGCAGACTTGCATTTGACCAAAAAGCCAGAGTTTTGGCCTTTTCTTCCATCTCTACCTTGTTTTCCTATTTCATACTGACAAGCTGTTGGGGGTCATCAAAAGGCTGAGCCCGTTTGAGGTTTTCTGTTTGAATGGCTTTAGTCCTGGTTTGGACATATTCATGCTGCCGAGGCTGAGCCATGAGCCAGCCA